CACTTGGCCCTTCGGGCCAGGTTAGCTTATAACAAGAATCAGAGTAAAACCAGTAAATCCCCCACTTCGTTTGGAGGATTTAATAAGAAACGGAGTAAAACCAATAAGTCCCCCACTTCGTTTGGGGGACTTAACTAATAATAACATGAAATCAGAGTAAAACCAGTAAGTCCCCCACTTCGTTTGGGGTATTTAATAAATAACAAGAGGCCCAATGGGCCTGCATCGCTCACCCGGTATAAATCTCACACTTGTAACCTTAAAAGTGATCTAAAATAAAGCTACAGGCAAATTATCAGTATTTATGATTAAAATTCATTCAGAAGAGCCTGTTAATTCTTTTTAAACATTTCACCCCTGTGATTGAAAGTCGAACAAAGTCATTATGTTGAACAAATTTTATAGCCTTTCATCTCAGGATGCAACTTGCAAAGTATCAACATCCTGGCACCCATGGTTATTCAGAAGAGGTCGTTTTAAGATTTTAAACAAATTTGACCCCTATGACCTTGAATATACGTCAAAGTCATTCATCTTAACAAACATAGTAGTCCTTGATCCCAGCATGCTACTGACTAAATATCAATATCCTGAGCCTTTCGGTTATTGAGAACAAGTTCTTTAAATATTTTGAACATATTTGCTCCTTGTGACCTTGAATTTGATTCAAGATTATACATTTAAACAAATTTGGTAGCCCTTGAGCCAAGTATGCTACTGACTAAATATCATCACCCTGGGCATTTTGGTTATTCAGAAGAAGTTGTTTAAAGTTTTTAACATATTTGACCCCTGTCACCTTGAATATGGGTGAAGGTCATTCATTTGAAAAAACTTGGTAGCCCTTCATCTCAGCATGCTACTGACCGAATATCATCACCCTGTGCATTTTGGTTATTCAGAAGAAGTTGTTTAAAGGTTTTTTAACCTTAACTTTGTGCCAGGTGAGCTAAAAATCAGAGTAAAACCAGTAAGTCCCCCACTTCGTAGGGGGATTTAATAAGAAATGGAGTAAAACCAATAAGTCCCCCACTTCGTTTGGGGTACTTAATTAATAACAAGAGGCCCAATGGGCCTGCATCGCTCACCTGTTATTAATCTAACACTTGTAATCTTAAGATTTCATAAGAACCTATTAAAAGATTTAAACATATGACGCCTCTGACCTTGATTGTTGAACAAGGACATTAGGTTGAAAGTGGATCAAGGTCATTCATTTGAACTAACATGGTAGTCCTTCATCCCAGCATGCTACAGGCCCAATTTCAGTAACCTGGCCCTTTTGGTTATTGAAAAGAAAATGCTTGAAGATTTTACGACATTTGACCCTGTGACCTTGAAAGTTGGTCAAGTTCATTCAGTTGAACAAACTTGATAGTCCTTCATCCCAGCATGCTACAGGCCCAATATCAGTACCCTGGGCCTTTTGGTTATTGAGAAGAAGTCGCTTGAAGATTTTACAACATTTGACCCCTCTGACCTCGAAAATTGGTCAAGGTCATTCATTTGAATAAACTTAATAGTCCTTTATCCCAGCATGCTACAGGCCCAATATCAGTACCCTGGGCCTTTTGGTTATTGAGAAGAAGTCGCTTGAAGATTTTACAACATTTGACCCCTCTGACCTCGAAAATTGATCAAGGTCATTCATTTGAATAAACTTAATAGTCCTTTATCCCAGCATGCTACAGGCCCAATATCAGTACCCTGGGCCTTTTGGTTATTGAGAAGAAGTCGCTTGAAGCTTTTAAAGACATCTGACCCCAATGACCTTGAAAGTTGGTCAAGGCCATTCATATGAACAAACTTGGTAGCCCTTCATCCCAGCATGCTACAGGCCCAATATCAGGACCCTGGGCCTTTTGGTTATTGAGAAGAAGTTGTTTGAAGATTTTAACATATTTGACCCCTGTGACCTTGAAAGTGGGTCAAGGTCATTTATTTGAACTAACTTGGTAGCCCTTGATCCCAGCATGCTACTGGCTCAATATCATCTACCTAGGCCTTTTGGTTATTGAGAAGAAGTTGTTTAAAGCAAAAAGTTGACGCCAGACAGACGTACGACGTACGACGGACGGACGGACGACGGATGCCGCACCATAACATAAGCTCACTTGCCCTTCGGGCAGGTGAGCTAATAAAAAACAGAGTAAAACCAGTAAGTCCCAAGCTTTGTTTGGGGGACTTAATTAATAATAACAAAAATCAGAGTAAAACCATTAAGTCCCCCACTTCCTTTGGGGGATTTTATAAGAAACTGAGTAAAACCAACTAGAACACTGACAGGTCAGTAAGGGCCCCGTCTTGTGGCAATATATCCCCCATAATCATCAAGAAGCAATCTGCCCCTATAGCCGAGCTTGACCTTTGACATTTGGACTTCAAAAAGAATTGCAAGAAAGCAAAATATACATTTTACATGTACTATGATGTGAGTCTTGTTTCGTTTCACCTCCATATTTGCTGGGCTAACAGAAATGTAAATACTGATGCAATACTCATTTGTTAGCTTTGATTTGTGTTATTTCACCTTATATACCTCCTCCATCAAGAGCCAGGGTCAAAGTCAGAAATCCACTTTGTCTTTGACCTTTGGACCCAAATGACCCTGACCATTAACCCAGTGACCCTAATCTTTGGTCAGTTGCCTTATTTTTTAATTCCGACCAACTTTGTTTCATAATATCAAAACAAAATGTTCATCAGTGAAAAAAACAAAACTTGACCTTGACCCTTTGGACCCCGTAACCTGGACCTAAGGTCAGTTGACTCTGTGTTAAGTTCTGAACAAGTTTGCTACAAAATAACATAAAAAAAAGTTAATCAGTAAAAAGATACAATAATTGACCTTGACATTGACCATGTCACTTTGACCTTAAGTCAGTTGACTCCTTTTTAAATTCGGACCAACTTTGGTTCATAATGTCATAACAAAATGTTAATCAGTAAAAAGATACAAAATTTGACCTTGACCTTTGACCCAGTGACCTTGCCCTTTGGTCAAATGACTCCTTGTTTAATTCTGACCAACATTGCTGCATAATGTCATAACAAAATGTTCATCAGGGAAAAGATACAAAATGTAGCCCTGACCTTGACCTTTAGTCAGTTGACTCCTTGTTCAATTCTGAGCAGTATTGCTTCAAAGTGTCATACCAAAATATTCATCATTTAAAAGATGCACAATTTTACCTTAATCTTTGAACCTAATGACCTTGACCTTTGACCTTGATTTTTTTTACCTCAATGTGTATTTTTGTAAACTGAACATCTTGACCAAGTTTCATGTACATCGGCCAATAAATACCAAAATTATCAGCCAGGAACAAAATTTGTGGACAGACAGACAGACAGACAGACAGACAGACAGACAGACAGACAGACAGACAGACAGACAGACAGACAGACAGACAGACAGACAGACAGACAGACAGACAGACAGACAGACAGACAGACAGACAGACAGACAGACAGACAGACAGACAGACAGACAGACAGACAGACAGACAGACAGACAGACAGACAGACAGACAGACAGACAGACAGACAGACAGACAGACAGACAGACAGACAGACAGACAGACAGACAGACAGACAGACAGAGTGATTACTATAGGGCACCCGTATCTCTGATACGGGGCCCTAATAAGAAACAGAGTAAAACAATAAGTCCCCCACTTCGTCTGGGGTGACTTAATAAGAAACATAGTAAAACAATAATTCCCCACTTCGATTGGGGGATTTAATTAATAATAAGAAACAGAGTAAAACCAGTAAGTCCCCCACTTCGTCTGGGGTGACTTAATAAGAAACATAGTAAAACAATAATTCCCCACTTCGATTGGGGGATTTAATTAATAAGAAGAAACGGAGTAAAACCAATAAATCCCCCACTTCGTTTGGGGGATTTTATAAGAAACGGAGTAAAACCAATAAATCCCCCACTTCGTTTGGGGGAGTTAATTAATAATAAGAAACAGAGTAAAACTAATAAGTCCCCCATGGGCCTAAACAGTCACCTGAGTCCTACAGTATTTATTTTTGTTGTTGAAATATGTACCAATTTGAGTACAAAATAGTTAAGTATAACGTCAGGACCATGAGCTGATCATTCCTAGATCGAGTTTCAGTTAAATCGGCCTATGAGAACTTGTTTTTAAGTTTGAAATAGTTGTTTCAAAATGGCGGCCGTGGTGGCCATATTGGATTTCTGATCAACCCGAAAAATAACAACACTTTGTCAGGATTATGAGTCGATCATTCCTACAAAGTTTCAGTTCAATCGGCCCAGTAGAACTTCACTTTAAGTTTGAAATAGTTTTTCAAAATGGCAGCCGTGTCGGCCATATTGGATTTCTGATCGACCCGAAAAATAACAACATTTTGTCAGGACCATGAGTTGATCATTCCTGCAAAGTTTCAGTTCAATCGGCCCAGTAGAACTTCACTTTAAGTTTGAAATAGTTTTTCAAAATGGCAGCCGTGTCGGCCATATTGAATTTCTGATCGACCCGAAAAATAACAACATTTTGTCAGGACCATGAGTTGATCATTCCTACAAAGTTTCAGTTCAATTGGCCCAGTAGAACTTTACTTTCAGTTTGAAATAGTTTTTCAAAATGGCGGCCGTGGCGGCCATATTGGATTTCTGATCAACCCGAAAAATAACAACACTTTGCAGGACCATGAGTCGATCATTCCTACAAAGTTTCAGTTCAATCGGCCCAGTAGAACTTCACTTTAAGTTTGAAATAGTTTTTCAAAATGGCGGTCATGGCGGCCATATTGGATTTCTGATCGACCCGAAAAATAACAACACTTTGTCAGGGAGATGTCAGTAACCTTCCCATGAAATATTAATGAAATCCCTTTGCCAGTATTTCAGTTTTAGTTGAAAATGTAAAATGTTAACGGATGACGGACGACGACGGAGGAAGATGGATAGCAATAGGTCACTTGAGCTAAAGCTAAGGTGACCTATTAAAAAGTGATATACTTACGGCCGATGTTGTGACACATCGTAACGCCACTTTGATCCCGATGGAACATAATGTACAGCCTCTGGTTCCTTGGTTAGAAAGTCGATACAACGTTTCTTATAATGGTCGGGGAGGATCTTGTCTGCTCTCTTGTCCCAAGTGTAGGTGTAGGCTGCTTTTTCTGTCAATAAAAAACAATTAGCAAACTAGTGGAGTTCTGTATTGCTTATTACAACTGCCTTATGGTCTCACTTTTTGTTGGTCAGTATTGGATAATGACTGAAACCTGGGATTTCTTCTGAATTCAACCTAGAGATGAGGGTGTTAGCCCGAATCTCTTGAGTTGTATTCAAAAGAAATCCCAGGTTGAGGTCATTATCCGACTTAAACCAATGTGCTCTTTTGTTGAAATAAATACCACCCACCACAGTTCACTAGTCACGCACACTTTGTAAGGTGTCAAAATAAACTTTTTGCCCCGCCTGACTACGGCATAACATGACTGCTCCTTCCCGGAAACAGCCGAGATATTAGATTTCATTTCACTCAGAATATAACATAAACCCTCAAATCAGTGAAAGGGTACCACGGCCTCAATTCGTATCAGGACATGGATTTCTATTTCTATTTAATAATATTACATAACATCTATAACTAGATTTGATGCAGATAAAAACACGGGATTTCCAATAGGACAATGATCAAAGATATGTTCTCGAACTGACGATCGCTTATAAACGTTTCTCTTCGCTTCCCTTTGCTTCCCTTCTCTCACAAACCTATTTTGTAGGTTTCACTTGTTTATTGGCCTGCATCACTTACTGGTCACCGAAAACAAACATTTAAACATACAGTGAGTAAATTGTTCCTGGACATATTGAAGCTGACTATCATACCTAGTAAGTTTGGAAGATGTACCTTGTTTGTGGATAAGAGCAATAAGACCACAGTAAGGAGACAGTCTCTACGTAGTTTGAATGTTCTGTACGGGTTATTGCATGAGTAGTGTAGTGGGGGATTCCCAGAGTGCTGTTTACTACGAATGTAGTTCGTAAATGTGGTCATATAGTCCGTCCACTATGTACGCCAGGACGATTAATTGTTTCTATATCAGTTGGGTTTGCCACGCCAAAGAAAGATTGATGTTTACCCAGCGCAGGAGAGGTGTAAACTGTCCACATTTTTAAGATTGATATAAATCAAAGTACTGAGAGTACTGAAAGCACTTGATAATCGCACAAAAATGACAAATGGAAATCCCTAATAACAAAGTGGTATATCTTCGTCATTTTTGATGCAATGACCTTGAAACTTTGGAAATACCTTGAATAGACCTTGCTCTTTAATATTTAAAAAACAAAATGAACTGATTTTATGATTTTTATTTTTGACCTATATTTGACCCCATAACGAGGCTTTGAACTTGAAATTCTCTGATAACATGTCACGGAAAAAAGTTAGCCCCGACTAAGCTCTACCAGAAGTATGAAGCGTTCATGCAGTACAACGAAAGCTTTCGAAGTTATTGTCGTTCGAAAAACGTTTTTAAAAAACTCCATTTTTAGATCTGTGACCTTGACCTTTGACATTATGATCATGAATTTGTTCGCATACCATGTGTTTCTTGTCCTCTAATACGTACTGAAATATGAACGTTGTATCTTTATTCGTACTTGAGATAGAGTGTCGACAAGATCATTTGACCCCTGTGGCCTTAAATGTAGGTCAAGGACAACGATAACCCAAAACTTTTATAGGGAAGCCTACATACTATGAATGTACCAAATATCAACTCTGTATGTGTCTGAATGAAGGAGAAGAAGCATTTTGAGGAAAATGCTGGAAATTTTGAATTTTGGCGGGAAAACGAATTTTTCAAAGTGGCATATCTTCGTCATTTTTGAAGCTATGACTTTGAAATTTTTCACATATACCGTCATTAGAACATGCCCTTTAAGATGAAATAAAAATATAACTCAATTTGAGATTTTTATTTTTGACCTATATTTGACCCCATAGCGAGGCTTTTAACTTGACATATTCTCTGAAAACATGTCATGGGGAAAAGTTAGCCCCGACCAAGATCTACAAGATCCACATAACGTTCATGCAGAACAACGAACGCTTATGAAGTTATGATCGTTCTAAAAATGTTTTAAAAAAATGTATTTTAGATCTGTGACCTTGACCTTTGATATTATGATCATGAATTTGTTCGCACTGTATGTTTCAGTTGTACGCTACCACATACTGAAATATGAACGTAACATCTTTATTTGTTCTTGAGATAGAGTGTCCACAAGAATTCTGGAAATAAGAATAAGAATAATAATAATAAGAAAAAACATAACAATAACAATAGGTATTTCCATCCGAAATGGAAATCCCTAATTAGACATAACAGTTTCAGACATTACTATATATGTTCTAACCCAATACCGAGCCGGAGCAATGTAACCAAAGAGTTTACAGCCAGCTCGAGTTTACAGGTGGCGACACCAAATTGTCTCATAGTTACCTAATGTCGCACTGGAGCAATGTATCAGAAGAGTTACAGCCAGTCCGCAAAAGGTAACATTTTTTATTTAATTGTAACACGTAAGATGCTATTCTTCATCCGGTTTGGTATAGCAAGGTATACATAGGAGTAGTCTTGGTAACACCAAAGTTTGTACTACTACAAATATTATACTCGCACTCAACTCAGTATTGCAGCAAAGTCTGCAGATCTGAACAACAGAAGCAATCAGTCACAATTTGTAGCAAACAGGACTTTGTCTCAACAGCTACAAAACCCAGCTGCCAACTGAGTTGAAGAATAGTATCAACAATAAAAAGTCTATATGATGAGTTCGCCCCAAAATGCCAATATGATGTTTTTTTATGTACTTGATGTATTTCTGTATACAATTATACTTGTGCATGATTATGGATGTTTTATGATATGTATGTACGATAGAATATTAATTAAATGTGTGTACAAAATCTATCTTGCTGTTATTTGTTAATTTAAACTGATACAGACACACTCACACAGTTTGGCTGATAAGACACACTCACAGTTTGGCTGATACAGACACACTCACACAGATTGGCTGATACAGACACACTCACACAGTTTGGCTGATAAGACACACTCACAGTTTGGCTGATACAGACACACTCACACAGTTTGGCTGATACAGACACACTCACACAGTTTGGCTGATACAGACACACTCACACAGTTTGGCTGATAAGACACACTCACAGTTTGGCAGATACAGACACAATCACACAGTTTGGCTGATACAGACACACTCACACAGTTTGGCAGATACAGAAACAATCACACAGTTTGGCTGATAAAGACACACTCACACAGTTTGGCTAATAAGACACACTCACAGTTTGGCAGACACAGACACAATCACACAGTCTGGCTGATAAGACACACTCACAGTTTGGCTGATACAAACACACTCACACAGTTTGGTTAATACAGACACACTCACACAGTTTGACTGATACAGACACACTCACATAGTTTTACTGATACAGACACACTCACACAGTTTAGCTGATATAGACAAGCTAAAATTACACAGTTTGGCCGATACCGACACACTCACACAGTTTGGCCGATACAGACACAATCACACAGTTTGGCCGATACAGATACACTCACAGTTTGACTGATAAAGACACACTCACACAGTTTGGCTGATACAGACACACTCACACAGTTTGGCTGATAAAGACACACTCACACAGTTTGACTGATAAAAACAACCTCACACGGCCGACACACTCACACAGTTTGGACGATATAGACACACTCACACAGTTTGGCAGATTCAGACGCACTCACACAGTTTGGCTGATAAAGGTCACACTCACACATTTTGGCTGATACAGACACACTCATACAGTTTGGCTGATACAGACACACTCACACAATTTGGCTGATACAGACACAGTCACACTTTTTGGCTGATACAGACACACTCACACAGTTTGGCTGATACAGACACACTCACANAGACACACTCACACAGTTTGGCTGATACAGACACACTCACACAGTTTGGCTGATACAGACACACTCACACAGTTTGGTTAATACAGACACACTCAAACAT